ATTTATTTTTTCTTGCCAAGTTTTTTTTTTTTTTTTGTTTAAATAAACAAACAGTTTATATTGTTATTTAAATTTAAAAAAAGAAAATTTGTGTATTTTGGCTTTTATTTTTCTCCAAACAAACAAAAAACAAAAGAAAATTTTAAAGAAAATGGCGACGGATGCGTCGTTTAAATATATTTACAAAATGGAGAAGGGAAATTATTTATTATTTATTTTTAACATATTTTTTATTTTATTTTCAGGCTCGTAATAAGGAACAAGAACAAGAAGTTTTACAATGGATATCGGATGTTTTGGGTGAACCCTTACCAAAAGGAGAATATGAAGATATATTAAAAGATGGCGTCATTTTATGTAAATTGATAAATAAAATATCACCCAATTCCGTGAGCAAAATTCAAACCAAAGGAACAAATTTTCAATTAATGGAAAACGTTCAAAGGTTTGCTTTTACGCCCCCACACCCCTCCCCCTAAATAAATTTTCTTTTTTTTCTCTTGCTTGACGTGAAACGTCTAAACGATTTTTTTTTTGGTATATTGACGATAGCAAAAAAAAAAAAAAACAAACGAACCGAGCCAAATTTTTTTTTTTAATATGACTTTACTACTACTAATAAAAATCTATAAATACAAATTGAAATTTAATTCCGTGATAATTTTTTTGTTTTTACAAGATTTCAAGCAGCTATAAAAAAATATGGCGTTCCAGATTCCGAAATATTCCAAACGGCTGATTTATTCGAAAGGAGAAACATACCACAAGTGACATTATGCTTGTATGCATTGGGAAGAATAGTAAGTTGTGGTCGTTGTTTACCCCCCCTCCCCCTTCCCCCACCCCCGGTTTAAAATTAAAATTTTTATATTTACAGACACAAAAACATCCGGAATACACGGGACCCAGATTAGGTCCCAAAATGGCGGATGAAAATAAAAGAGAATTTACCGAAGAACAATTGAGAGCTCACGAAGGTCATTTAAATCTTCAAATGGGTTATAATAAGGGAGCCTCACAATCTGGACTTGGAAGTTTTGGTAACACGAGGCACATGTGAAAATCCCCACCCCACCCCACCCCCTCTCTCTGTCTCTCTCTCTCACTCTCCCGAGGGAAAATTTGCTTTTTTTTATTTATATTTTAACACACTTATATATATATATTATGTAAAACAAATCGCACTCGTTCCGAAACTTTATACACGCGCACACACACACACACACATTTTAAAACGAATACATATATACATTACGAGTAATGGGATTATTTTGTTATTTTATTTATGATAATAATAATAATAATACGATGAGTTTTTTATACTAATAAATATTATTATATTATGCGTTATAATATAAAGCTTGATACAAAAAATATATATATATATATATATATAATTAACACAAAATATATTTTTAATAAAAATTATGTATCGTTAATGTCGATTCGAATTTTAATATATATACATAATAATAATAAATAATTAAGTATTATTTTTTGATTTTACGTATTTTTAAAAAAAAAAGGAGATGATGATGATAATAATAAATGTTTTTTCTTTTCTTATTTAAATTAATTTTATGGTTTTTACAACAAAAAATAAATAAATAAATAAATTTTTGATATTTACATAAATTAATTAACAGAAAATATAAATTTATTTATCGGTCGAATTTGAATTATTTATTTTTTTTATCACTAATAAAATTATTATTATTATTAACAATTCGTAAATAATATGGCGAAATAATTGATTTTAAAATTAACAAAAACAATTATTATTATTATTATTATGTTTTATTTAATAAAAATGATAATTTGAGGCGGGTGATTAAATAAAAAAATAAAAAAATTATGTATTTGATTTATTTATTAACACGACGTTAATAATAATTAAAAATAAAAATTTAAAAAAAAAATAAAATAAAATAATTCATTCATTGTTTTGTGTTGTCAGAGCGGCCATTTTCTAATAATAATAATAATAATAATAAATGATGCGTTTAAATATAAATAAATCAACGCGAAATTTATTTTATTTATTTATTTTTTGTTTTTGTTCCGATGATTGATGATTAAAATTTAAAAAACCCGTTGATAATTATTATTATTATTATTATTTATTTAAATAAATTTAACCGAAAAAATAAATAAATAAAAATAAAAAAATATTTTATTTAATAGAAAAAATTTACACGTTATAGAAGCAAATTAAAATTACAAACATTATTATTAATATTTAATTAGTATGTTAAATTAACAAAAAAAATTTATTTATTTATTTTATTTATTTATTTATTATTATTATTATTATTATTATTATTATTATTATTGTTATTAGTTATTAATTTTTGTATAGAGAAATGTATGTAGAATTTTTTTTTTTTTTTTTTACCTGCCACAGCGGTCGTCCTGGCATTTTGTATATGAAATTTTTTCAAACGATTCAACTGCGAATTTCTCGAAAACTGAAATCTATTTAAAAAAAAAAAAAAAAATAGAAAATTTTTTTTTTTCTAACTCATTTTTTAAATTAGATCGGTGTTCTTTTTTTAACTCGCAAGGTCAATCATATAACTCTTTTTTTGTTCTCATTCGTACTCCATTTTCGTTTTTTTTTTTCTCATAAAAATTTTATTATTAATTTTCACGTGAAATCTCATTTAAAATTACGTGGAAAAATATTAATATAAGTGAAAATAAATTTACCTGGTGTGATATAATCATTTAAATAATAAGAGGGATTTAATACGTTAATCCCGGATAAAAATATTTGTTAATCCAGGGATTATTATTAATTAATTTTATTCGGGATTAACTTTTACTTCACGGAATCTATTATTCGGGCGGTTATTTTTAAAATCATATTTAAATTTTACGTAATTATTATCATACATAATTTTATTCAATAATTAACGTATTCGAAAATGAAATAAAACGTCGAAAACAAAATGGTGTTTGAAAAACCGTTGAAACGCCATTTAAAATGGTGCATGTGGTACATGACTAGAATCGGAGTATTAAAGATAAAACGAAGAAGGGAAAGAACCGAAAAATTTGTAAAAAATTGTATAAACCTCCTCATATTTCTTTTATTCTGATAAAAATCTTTTCCGAAACTCATCGTGCTCCCTTCAATTTTTCTATGTGTTGGAATTATTTTGAATTTTTTATCGTAGTAATAAATAATAATAATAATATGTGTGTGTGTCGAATTTATCTCAATCTAATATTAATAATAATGATAATTATTGTTTTCTATTAGCCATGCGAGGCCGCGTCTGTCAATCAATTGTTATTATGCAAATGTAAATAGTAAGAGAGTGGCAACCGAAAACAGCTTTTTTATCCGTAAATTATAATGAGGAAGAAGTTTATGCACGAACACACACACACACGCAAACATTGACGCATGCGTTCATTTATTATTATCACGTGACGTGGTGACGTAAAAACTCGCAGCCTCCTTATTTTACCGTTCTTTCCCTCTCTCTCTCTCTCATACATTTCTCCCACCGGTTTTTTCGTTCTTTCTTCTTCTTTTTCTCCTGCGTCTGGGATTTACAATATATTTTTCATTCCATCATCGGTCACGCCATTAAAATTAATACCGTTATGATTCAATATATTCATTATTTTTTTTTTTTTTTTACGGAGGAGTTTTTTTAATATTTTTAGACCGGGCAACTAATAAAATAAAACGGATAATATTTTTTAAAAATAAATTTATATTTATTTATACGTTACAAAAACGAAATAGTTTTTTTTTTTTAAAAAAATAATAATTAGACATTTTAAAAAAATAAAAAAAAATTTACCAAAATGTCGTTTAAATCTCCTACAAAATTCATTTAGTATTATTATTATTATTTTGTGTTTATTTAAATTTAGTTTTTTTTTTTTCCTTTCTCTTTCATTTTGATTAAAATAACTTTTAAATAAAATAAATATAATTTTTTTTCTTTGTGAAATTAAATTATTTAAACTTGAAACTAGTTTTCGCCGTATGATAATAATACATGTTGAGCATTCGAGATTTCATTCCATAAGTTAAACATCAAACGTTTCTCTTACGAATCTCCCTCCCTTCCATCCGTGAACTTATTCCCTTCTTGCTCTCAGTCTCGCGTTCGCCCTCCACCGTTTTTTTTCGATCCCGTCGGCCGAATCGATATCGACCTCCTACGTATTATTTTATTCTGATATAAAATCTACCAAAATATGAAAACTCTTAAAATGAGATTTTGCTTAACAATTTTCCACAATGTCTTTGACGATGACTTTGAAGGACGCGTTGCGAGAAACCTTCAAATGTTTTTTGGAAACGTTTTTGTTCTCTCCATTTAATATACTTCATATACGAAACATAAGATGATCGTTTAACCCGTTCTTATCAAACGTCCTTGTCATTCATATTGTATTAATTTTATTCATTGAAAAAAAAAATTCGTCTCCATTTTTTTTTTTTTTTTCTTAACTATTTTATCAAAGATAATTTTTAATTTTTTCAGGTATAATACCTAATTTCTTTTCAAAAATAAAACCTTGATCGGATTAATAATCAATTTTTATTTTTATTTTCTAATTAAAAAAACTTTTCCTCATAAAAAGTAAAAAAAAAATTATAATTAACAATCCATAATTTTTTTTTCCTCTTTTTAATATGCAACCTTTTTTCCCTTCCGATACTTTTCCTTGTTTTTCCTTTTGTTTAAAACTTTCAATTTGATTAATTATATAATCCACACGATTATAAAACTCCTTTTTTATTTTTTTTTTTAACTTTTTGAACTCTAAAAGGCAATGAACTGCATTGTAAAAAAAAAAAAAACCTTTCGAAAGAGAGTACATTGACTTTTTATGCAAATTTTCATTTCGAAATAATAATAATAATAATAATAAACTTATGAGTTTTTATTAAATGTTTTTCTTTTACATTTATATTGCAATGAATTTTCTTTTTTTTTTTTTAATGTAAAATTATTAAAAAAGGTTTAAAATAAAATCGATTTGTAAAATACTTAAAATATTTTTTATAAAAATTAATTAAAACATTTGGCGCTATGGAAAAAATATTATTTCATCGATTTTAAAATTGTTTTTTTTTGTTGTCTTTTAATTATTATTATTATTATCTCGTTCCCTTAAAAAAAAAAAAAAAAAATTTTGTATATTTGATTGTTGCGTGAGAAGAAAAGTCCAGAGAATTTTTTTTTTTTTTTTGTTACTGCTTGAATAATAACCTGTTTTGAATTTCAATGAGGGTTTTTTTTTTCTTTTAGGATTTTCTTTTACTTGGGTTTACCCCCTGACTCCCTACTAATATTATGTGTGTGACCTTTTAATTTAAAAAACGAATGAGGTCAGGTTTTTCTTTTCTACTTTGTCCATAATATTTTAAATTGAAAACTTTTTTTTTTTTTAATTTACTTACTTCTTGATCGTATCTATAAACAATTTTTTTTTTTTTTGTAGGAGAAACGAATCATTTTGCACTAATCTTCCCACCCCCTGGTAGCAGGGAGCTACTACTCAACTATCTTGGGGGGAGGGACAACATTCGTGGGAGTTTTTAACCTGCATTTCAATCTCAACTCCCTCCTGAGCCAGAACCATAAGATGAACACACTCGCGAGGGTGGGAATCCCCCCTGAGGAAAATCCCTACGATCATCATCTGTTACCATCGTTCCAGCAGAAATTTTCCAGAAGGAAAACAAAATGTTTAAGTATTATTATGTATATAATTAATTGTGTGATATTGAGACTAGGCCAAGGAAAAAATTGTTCTAGAAATTTTTCGAAACCTCTCGTTAAATACACATAAGTGTGAGTATGTGTCACAATTCAAGGATGGTGGTGATTCGTTGGTCGAAAACAAAACAAAACAAAAATCGTTAATGTTTTTTTTTTTTTTTGGGGATATGAATAATAATAAAATATTTTTGCACATAAAGGGGTAAACATATTAATAAAGGTGAGAGAGGGTAAATAATAATCGTTTAAAACGGAAAAAAAGGTTTGAAATTGTTGCTAAGAAACAAAAAATGACGCTTTTCTTTCGAATACATACACACACACAGTTCAGTTACACGTGAAACGGTTAATTTAACACAAACACATTTTAAATCCTTATTATTATTATTATTATTATTTTAATTTTTTTTTTTATTTAATTAAACGTAATAAAATATTTTTAAAAAAAAAAAAAAACGTACTTCGAATACGTTGAAAAACCTCCAGAAAAAAACGGGAAAATTTTTTTTTTTTTGGAAAAACTTTACAAATTTTTTTTTTTTTTAAAAATGAACAACATACAAAAACATAAAATTTATGTTTTATGTTTGTTTCAATATGGCTTCCCTCTTATGTTTCGTAAGTATTATCAATTTTATTTAATTTAATATGTGATAAAGTTTTTAATTTTATTAACAAAATGGTGGATTTAACATAACTCAAAAAGTAATTTTTTTTTATTTTTAATAAATTTATGTTTAATAAATTTTAATTTAGGTATTTTATTAAGGTGGTTTATTTTTTTTAATAAAAAAAGGAACCGGAAATAATATTTAATAATAATAATAATAATAAAAATTACGTAAGTTATTTTTCCCAAAACGAAATAAATTTTTTTTTTACGTGGGGATACCATTAAAATTCAAACAAAACATTTAAATGAGGCCAATGTGGGAGGTAAGAGGGAGAGGCGGGGATTGAAAATAGGGTGGGGGTGGGTAGATCATAAAATGTAAGAAATTAACCGGAAAAGAATGACCACCATTACCATAACCACGCAAACCATCACGATATGGGTTAACATCATCAAATAAAACACTCATAAAGTTTTTTTCTACTTCGAAGGTTAATTAAACGAATTTTTAAAGCCATTTTATTTAATAATAATAATAATAATAATAATAATAATAATAATAATAATAATAATAATAATAATACATTTATTTTATCGTATTTTAAAAATAACATAAAAATCAATCGATTAAATTTATTTTATTTATTATTATTATTATTATTATTTGAAAGTTGCCTTTTATCGGTGTTGTTATCATCATCCCTCCCCCCGTTCCGGGCCACCCCTCCCCCGGTTTTTGGTCAGTAAAATTTTCAATCGAAGTGCAAATAACAAATGAGGGCATTGATTTTTCATTCAAAAATATTTAATTTCGTGTCAACCCATAAATTTCTTTCCTCCCTACCTCCCTCCCATCCTCCTCCCTGCCCCCCTCTTTAAAAAAAAAAAAAAAAAATTCACACGTATCATATTAAAAATGAAAAAATTTTTGATTTTTCAATTTTTTCAATTTTTTTATTTTTTTTTGATTGCAGATTCCGATGAATTGAATTAATAATAATAATAATAATAATAATAATAATGTCGAAAAGTAGTATTATTATTATTATTATTTTGTTTTGTTTGGGTAAAACGTTTGGAAATTATCCAGTTTTCGATTACAGGACGAGAATGAGAGTTTTGCTGGTACCAGCAGATCTTCGTGCTGGTTCCGTCATATACAGATTAAGAGGATCGGATCCAAATTTTGATTATCCGTTAACTTTTAGCGTTGCAGGTACGTTGAAAACAAATAATAAACCTTATTTTCGATGGTGTTATTAATTAATAAAAAATTATTTAATCGGTAGACGATGTCGGAAAGTCGATAATACGAATCGAAAACATGCCTTGCAATCCGACTCACAGTTATTGTCAAGCAAATGTTTTTCTAATAAAAAAATTAGAACCCGATCGCGTGTACGATTTAATATTGAGTTTAAAAGATACTTCCGGTTTGGAAACGAAAGTCGATTCGACAATAAGGGCAACAAGATCAACGTGGCATTTCGAAGATATATTCCCGTATGCTCCGACGATGTTGGTCGTACCGGAAAGTACCAAAGTTGGATCGATATTGGATTATGTACTTGCAAGAAAAAATCCAACGAGTACTCATCATTCTTATTTGGAACTTTGGGGTTCGGAAAAATTTCGGATAGTTCAAAATTTATCAACCAAAGATGTCACCAACGGATCAATCATACTCACTGGAGAATTAGATTTCGAAGAGAAAAACATGTATAATTTACATGTTTTTTGTTTGGTTAATATAATTTTCTTTTTCCTTCTAGTTTAACAATACGATTCGAAAATTTTCATTTTCTTTTTTGTTTGGGGGGATTTCAGGATCCTTTTACGAAAAGTACAGACGATACGAGAAACGTAGCCGGATTCCAACTCCCGGTCATCGTGGAAGACGATCAAGATAAACCACCTGAATTTAATTCTATACCACCGGTTACGAAAATAAGTCACAATTATCAGGTAGGACAAAAAATACTTCAGATACAAGCTCAAGATGGCGACAGAGGAAATCCTCGACCTCTTAAATACACTTTGGTCAACGACGGTACCGACGTCAGTTCATTTTTTAACATAAGCGAAAAAACAGGTATGAAAATTTTTTTTATTTTTTTTTTTGTATTCTCCATCCGATGATGATAAATATTATTATTATTATCGTTTTCAGGTGAAGTATATTTGGCGAGACCGGTAAAAGATTTATTAAACGTACGTCAACCGATGATATTAACAGTCTCAGCCGAAGAAATAAGAAAAAATTCATTTGATCCTCCGCCATTATCATCGACGACTCAAGTGGCTTTGGTTTTGGATAATGATTTTTCCAACACTCCTCCTTATTTCGAAAACGAACAGTGAGTTCATATTATTATTATTATTATTATTATTACACTTATTAATTACACAATTTAAAAATGTATTTTTAAAGGTTTTCTGCAAGACTACCGGAAAATGCTCCTCAAGGTACGGCAGTTGTTTTCGGAGAACCATATTCGACTCTTGTCAGAGATGATGACGTAGGAAAAAATGGCGTCTTTTCTTTAACGTTAGAAAATAATAACGGAACTTTTGAAATTTCACCGAACGTCGGAGAACAAAAAGCTAATTTTGTGATTCGAGTTCGTAATAACGAACTTTTAGACTACGAACAAAGAACTTATGTTGTATTTACGGTGATTATTAATTTCCGACATGTTTTTTTCCTACAGGAAATCATCATCATATTTAAATAAAATTTTTTTTTTTTTTCAACAGGTGGTAGCGAGAGAAGTCACACCTTCAAAAGATTCAATCAAACCATTGGAATCAAGAGCAAACGTAACAATTTATTTAGATGATCAAAATGATAATCCGCCAGTTTTTCTACAGGAAAAATACGAAGCTGAAATCCCGGAAAATGTTACTGCTGGTACCGTTATCACACAGGTAAGCATTTTCCTTTTCTTTTCTTTTGTAAATAAATCCCAATAATCGAAAAATTTAATCGGTTTCAGGTACAAGCCAATGACGTAGACACAGGCGTCTTCGGAAAAGTATTTTACACTAATCTTCTGGGTAATATAAATCAATCTTTGACGATAGATTCAATGTCGGGGATTATAACAGTTGCCACCAACAATCACGGTTTCGACAGAGAATCAGCCGAAGGTAATAATAATATAATAACATAATAAATAAATATATATTATTAAATAAAAAAAATCTTTTTTAGAATATCGTTTATTGGTCGAAGCTAAAGATATGGAAGGTCGTGGAAATATGGCGACGGTTCCTCTAATTATAAAATTATTAGATGTCAATGATGAAACTCCTCAATTCGAAAAGCAAACTTTTGAATTTATTTTACAACCGAATTTAAGAAATTTTACGACTCGAGCTTTTGTTAAGGTCATTATTTCATTTTCATTTTTTCTTAAAATCAAAAAGAAAATTTTAATTTTCATAAGGGAAAATAATAATTTCCAGGCAACGGATAGAGATGCGGAAAAACCCAACAACATTGTCAGATATGAAATAATAAGTGGAAATTATGATAATAATTTTATACTTAACGAAATAACGGGTGAATTATTTATAAGAGGAAAACTAACGAGTAATAATTTAAGACAATCCAATTCGGATGACACATACTATCCAGGTAGTGGTCCAGATTCTGATTCTAACGGTGATGTACTTTCCGTCATACCTCTAACGGTTAGAGCCTACGATTTGGGTAAGTAAATCAAAAAGTTTCTTTACGTGAAGTAAAAATAATTTTATTTATGTGTAATTTGAAATTTAGGTGTCCCACATAGATGGACACATGCACAAGTTAGAATTTATCCACCTGAGAGTAGAGCGAGAAATATGGATTTTATCGTATCCAGTTCGAACAAGGATAGAAAAGCAATCGAAGATTTATTGAGCCAATTAACCGGAGGTCGTGTAAGCATACAAGATATTAGACCGTATACGGGTAGAGAATCAGGTACGGATTTGTCATGGAAAGATGGGCCGGCAGACGAGAAGTAAGATAACTTTCAAAAGGTTAAAATGTTAAATGTTAACGAAAGAAAATCGAAACAATTTGTTTTTTCTTCTAGAAACATCGTTTCCGCAACAGTTTTTTACGATGGTAAATCATATGTCGATTTAAATCAGGTCGAAAGAAAATTAGCACGAAATAAAACGATGCAAGCCATAGTGGAAGAAAAAGTAACGGAATATAAAAATGAAAATCGAGTTTTATTTTGGTTGATGATGTTTTTCCTCATACTTTTACTTCTCATACTACTATTTTTACTTCTTTGTTGCATTTGGCAAGGTTGTTGCGTTTGTCCTTGTCTGGATTACGATGGTAGAACTGTCGTATCACCAATGGAAAATATTAAATTTATTGCACACGAAAGAAATAAAAGACAAGATGTTAAAAACTTACAAGGTCATTTTCCTTTCCCTTTGGTGAAATTTTCATTTGATTAGATTTTCATATTAAATTTTCTCTTTTAGGCGTGTCGTATTATGGAAGAAAAGAAGCATGGAGTGGACGAAACGGAGAAAGAACAATTCATTACGAACAAAATCCACAAAAAGAACAAATAATACGTCATGTAAAAATTGACGGTACGGAAAATTTTGGAAATACTGGTGCCACATTCAGATCTCATACCAACGACGAAACCGGAGGCCCTAATGTCATATACACCAAAGATTTCATTCGAACGAATAACGAAAGAAATCCGACGATGGTTTTAGAAGATGTTGAAATCAAACCTTACATAACGAAAACAAAGACATTAAAAACTCTGGATGACTTGCAAAGATCGGGGATTCACCTAAATATAAATTCAGATAAAGAATTAGATACGGATTCGATTAGGCGACATGAAATCGAACGTGATTCGGATTTAAATAAAAGTTTTAGAAAAACCGAAAGAATTCATACGGAAAGAGATGATGAGTATGAGAGATCTGGACCGAACGTTATAAGAGAATACAAATTGATCTTAGAAAGACCGGATGGTAATATTAACGACATTCAAGTTGTCGGACATGACGGTTCTGGGAGAGAACATTATTACATCAAAGATGGAAATGCGGAAATATTGAGATTGATGTCGGCAGGAAACGAAGATGAAAAAAATGAGATGATTATTAAAGAACCCGAAAGGGAAGTGATAAAAATCGACAAGGGAAAAGATTTAATAATGAAAAAATTTATGGAAGATCAAAAACAATCGTCTGGTAGTACGTCGAGAGAAGAATTCCGACAGGAATTATTACGTAGACTTCAAAAAGAATTAGACGATAGAAATATCGAGACTCCATATCATCCGAGTAATATTTTATTCGAGAAAAATATAAAACTTCGTGGTCCCAAAATGAAAGACATGGGATCCAATTACGATTACGATAACAGTTCGACAAGTTATCAGTATCATAATCAAGAAACTCAAAGTTTACCAGGACAAATTGAAATTTCGACACAAACAGAAAGAGACTGCGGAACTCAAACGGAAGAATTAATTAACCTTCGACCTCCGAGAAGAAAAGTACGAAGTGATAATGAATTTTCCGACGGCGACGACGACGACGAAAGGCAAAATTTCGACGAAGAAAAAGCCGTGGAAGCATTGGATCTTGGAAAAGGTTGGATTCGTAGAGAATCGAAAAGTTATCGTACGAAAACCGTAAAAAGACATAAAATGAGGACTCCGATATTAGAAGAAGGAGAAGTTGATACTTTGATTAAATACGACACGAGACCGGCAATGTTTGAAATGCCAGATGCGGTAACAAATGGCGTCGGTGGCTCTACAGCTGGTTACACCGAAAACAAAAGTAGCATACTACGAAGAAGACGAATGAAAGAAAAAATATTAGATGAAAAAGGAACCGGAAACGAAGATTATTATTCATCCGATGATGATGCTAATCATAAAACAACGAATAAAACGAATAGAAGAAGCAGAAGAGATCTTTCGGATGTGAAAAAAGATGCGGATAAAATACCGAAAAATTTGAGAACCGAGAGTTTAAATAGATTGTTCGAAGCCATGCAAGAAATGGGTGAAAGTGAATTTCAAAAAATTAAAATGGAAACGAAAGAAAGAGCTGCGTCTCTCAATAGATTTTACAACGCGTTGGAAAATTTCGAGGCAGGAACCGTTGAAAAAGATGTTAAAAAAGCAACTTCCCTAAACAGTTTAAAAACTGACGAGAAAAATACTAATGATGATGGAAGTGCTAAAGAGGATGAAAATGTTGGTCGTACCGTCATTGTTGAAGTACAACAAGAAAAACCTGAAAATGAAAAACCAAAGGAAATCCCCGAAGAAGAAAAACCAAAAGAAGAGGATGAAAACGTTGAAATTCAAACGGAATCTCTCACCGTCGTCAACAACAACAACAACAACAGTAACAAATCCAATGACGAAAGCATGCCCGAATCGGAAAAATCAGGAAAAACAAAAAAATCAAAATACATGGATTGGTACAACGATTTAAATCATAAAAAAGTTAAAACGTCCAGAAGTAAAAGAGATAAAAAGAAAGAAGACGATCAAGATTCCGGCATAACGATATCTTCTTTACACAAACATCCGGATCATGGGAAAAAAAGGACGAAAGGTGACGTCATCGATGGTAAAAGTAAAAGCGAACAACTTTTGGAAAAGAAAAGCGTTTTTACCATTGCATATGACGGAGTGCAAACAAAATCCATAAGACCGGAAACGAATTCATCGGAAAATCAATAAAGAAAATTCATGACCTTACCATCATGATCTTCCTCGAAACATTACCGCCCTTCCCCCCCCCCCGTTTTTTCTCTCCACTATTAATACTAAATTTAATTTTTTTATGCGAATATTCAAAAGTTTTTTTTCTAAACGGTAGCAAGATAGAAAATTTAAAAAAAAAATTAATACTAATTACTTATTTTTTTTTTAATTTTTATATAAATTAATTATTCGCATGATTGATTGATTGATTGAAAAACGTTACGTGATAATTCCTTAATTAAATAAACTAACATATATATGTGTGTATTTTTTTTTTCTTTTACTTTTCGATTAAGGCTTTAATATAAAACTTTTTTTTCTCTTTTTTTTTCATTTTTGGGTTTCTTTTCATTATTATCATTATCATTATTATTATTATTAAAATTAACACGATGATAACTTATAGAAAAAATAATTTTAATCATAATCTCACCTTTAATTCTTCCATCCGTTCTTTTATCCTCTTCTTCAATTCTCTAAATCTAACAAAGAAAACGTTTCGTTAATAATAATAATAGTAATACTAATCGTTTTTTTTTGAAATTATGTAAAAACAAAATGGCGGACTCACTTAAGTCTAATAAGTTTGGCTTGTCTTTCCTCTTCGTCTTCGTACCGATCCAAAATGTTCTGACATTCGGCCACGCTTAAATTAAGAAATTGTGCCACGTCCGATGAGATTTCTTCCGTGCTGTGTGCGTCCATGAGAAACAATTTGGCAACATCTTCGTGAGGACCCAACATGACGCGAACCAAAAGTGGATATTCATCGTCTTTAAGTCGTCTTTGCTCTGATTCCAAGGTAAGCAAAAAATAAATAAATTATCACGAAATCAAACGAGTTTTTTTTTTTATGTGAACATTTACCTCCGTTGTCGCGAACGACGAACAAAGCAAAATTTCCAGGTTGACAATCGACTTTATATTTTTCCAATAAATTATTAATGACTTCTCCGGTGGAAACCAAAGAAGTGACCCACACTGACATTTGACTACCGTGAGGCGGTTTAAAAAAACTAGTTTCCCTATTGTAAAAATGACCGTTTATCGAACAACGCCTTTTCAATTTTGTTCTCGAACGCCTTTTACCCGTTCTTCTTTTTATGGCCGTCGAACCTTTGGGTTTTCTAAAAACTACCGGTGGATCCACGGAAGGATCCGAACTTGTTTGATGATAAGATGCATTTAAATACCTGAAATAATAATGTGAGTCGTATTATGAAGATGCACCATTTTATTATTATTATTATTCGAAATCAATATTTTTTGATACTCACCGTTTTAAACTGTCGTCGTATGGAAAATTACCCATCGGGTAACTGTTTTCCGAATAATTAAAGCTGCTGTTTCTATTTACACCACTTTTTAAATCTTCCGGTGTACTCAAACTCCTCAAAACGTTTTTGATTTTAAGCGAAAGGTTTTCGTAGTCTTCGCTTACTTGATCAAAATTGTAAGAGTCCGGTCCTGCAAAATATAAAAAAACTTATTAAAATTGATATAACTTGTAATAATTTCACACGGAAGTAACAAAAAAAAAAAATTTTATTACCAGATATACTTCTAGTTAAAGTACCCTCTTCGACAGATCTCTCGAAATTAGAAGAATAAGTATCGGAATCGGTACTTTGTGAAGGCCCAGAATCAGGTGTTGAGTTACTCGAATCACCTGCACTCCTATTAGGAAGTAATGTTTTGTCTTCGTATTCCTCACAGCCTGCAAATCATTAATAATTTTCATTCATGCTTTTACCATAAACCAAATGCATGACACATAAGTTATTATTTAAAATAAGTTTGGAGGAGGAAACATTTTTGTTATGGCATACACTTACTAAAATAATAATAATAATAATAAAACATTAGAGAAAGTACAAACCAAAATCAGTTGAATTTTGTTTCGAATTCACTTCATTTGATACGTTAAAAGGCTCTAATGCGACTCCAGGAGGCATTGTTTGATATAATTTTTCTTTATCATCAACATGTCTTTCTATTTGAAGTAAGTTGTCTAATTCATCCCAATTCCCTGGAAGATTTTCTAATTTTGTAGGAAGGGTAGCAAATTCATTTTTCATTTTTGTTTGCGTTTTGCTATCACTAATTGTTTCAGTATTTTGTAATGTAATTTGTTCTGGCACTCCACTATCTGAATCACTATTCTGTAAATTAAAATTTATTGTTTGCAAAAAAAAAAAAATTATGAAAATCCTTTAATGGTTTAATTAATTCCTAATTAACAGTTTTAATTTTTGATTTTTGTAGATGGTTTTATTTCAAATAACAAAAAATTTTTTACTTAAAAGGTAACATTAATATACAAATTTTATTTATAATGATGATTTCTATAGAAAAGACATGTAATATTATGCAAATAATAAGTAAATTATTCTATTATTATGTTTCATATTATGTTTCAAGACTTACATTATCATCATTTAGTCCATATTTATAAGAATTTTTTTTTCTAACAGTGACAACAGTTCTTTGATCATCATCTTCTTTTAAATGAATCATACCAAGAACTCCCCAATAAATTCTCAAGGCACCTTCAAGCACAAGTCTACCATTTACTTCTCTAGATCTTATTTCACAACTTTTACCATTTTTACCATCGTAAAAGGCATTAAAAGTTTTTAATTTTTGTTCTAAATGAGATCTTGGAGTATTACAATAAGCCCTAACAGAAAAAAAAAAAAAAAAAAAAAAAAGGTAAAATTATTATTATTATTTTTTTTAATTAATCTTACTTTTGTAAATATTTGAATTAATTACACTGTGTTCATAGTTTTTATTAAAATCTTTTCTTCATCTTGTTTTATTTCATTACCTATTTTCAACTTTTCCAAAACTTGTGTGACTTTCAACTCTTGTTCCATGGCCAAACAACTGAGGACCGAAAAGGGCTCCATAACATGGTACATGACAATAAGGAACTCCTTTATGCTCAGCATGTTGACCAGGATTTAATCTTTTTTGACATTCCTCACATCTCAAACATTCAGGATGCCAGTCATAACCTAAAGACTGTTTTCTTTCGGCTAAAAATTTTTAAAAGTAAACCGTTATTAATTTATAAAATTTTTTTTTTTTTTTTATTGATCAATAAATAATATTTTGCAATAACCACATTATTTTAAAAACTATTCAAAATTTTCATATTATTAAATCTATAATAATAAAATTTCACCTACTTAAATTAAATAAAATTTATTAAACTAATAAAAATTACATAATTTTAATAACCGCTAAAGTTAATTATTGTTTAAATGAGTCAAAAAGCATTAAATTAATAAAAAAAAATAACTTTTAATTTTCATTCTCTTTAAAAGCATAGCCTAGACTAAATTGTATTCGAAATTAATAAATTATTATTAATAATAAGTGGTAACTTATTTATTAAATTTACCGAAGTAAACTGGTTTTCCACATTTATGACATTTCCACATAATTGACGTTTTAAGCTCATTTAAGGTTCAAAATTTAAATGAAACTAAATTTAAAATTGTTTACACATTTTCGAATAATTGACACCGCCTTTTAATAGAACAATTAATAATTCTAATTTATTTGCTGGAAAACCTTTGTCGTATCATCGACTTGTTGCAAATGAACCGGGAGTCATTTCGAAAAAAGTCCGCAATTTATTTACTATTCAATATTTAATTGTAACTTTTTAGTTTTTCTACGATTGATTACGGCTTGTGTCTATCCATTAAATCAATTTAAAATAATTTCGAAACATTATGAATGTAACATTTGATGAGACCACATTAAAAAATATAAAAATATTAGACAACAGTAGTTTTGTAATTGAAAAGTCAAAAAATTTCGCTCTCTATAAAATAGTTAATCTATCTATTTACAGAATATATAACTTTAAAAAATTTAAAATTTTTTATTCCGTCGGTAGTAATTTATTCTTTTTTTTATTATTCTTAACCTCATTTTTTATGAGGTATAAACACTAAATTATTTTATGTACATGCAAACAGGTTACGAGAAGCCATATTGAATTTTTAATTAGCACAATAGAATAAATTTGCTCTACGTGTACTTCTGCCATAGTTCTTCCCATTTTGCTTTGTACATATATTTTTTCCGTAATTTTAAAATTTTTTTTTGTTGTTGTTCTGTATGTAATTTAAATTTTTTCTTGTTTATTTATTTAATTAAAATTCGATTGAAATTATTTGAAAAACGTAAGTTTTAATAATTATTTTTTTATCTATTAATAATAATAATGATTAATTAATGATTTAAATGATTGTTTTGAATGATACTTGCATATTGACAAGTTGTTGTGAATTTACTTATGTCATCCAATAACAAATGCCATAGCGTATTTATCTTTGACTTTTAATTTTTTTAACAAATTTATTTAGGCTTTTTTATTTTAAAATAATGCCGATTATTAATATTTGTTTTTAACTCTTATTTTAAATATTTGAATGATTAATATATTTATGTCTAATAAATCCACGTATTTAAATTTTTTTTTTTTTTTGACGGTTAACATTAAATGCTATTATTCTACAATAAATCTAAAAAAGCATATTATTATTTAAAATTAAATAATTTTAGTTTTGAATACTTTTTATTTTAATGTATTGTATGTTTATTGATATTATATTGATAATATTGATATATTGATAATTGTCAATACGCTGTAACAACTAAATAAGATTTTTTTAGGTAAAACACACATCATTATCTATATTTATTTTAAAAAAAAAAAAAAACTCAAAAATTTATAATAATTTTTAAATTTCATTGAAAAAAACATATTTTTATGTAGTTTAAATTGTTTTTATTAAATAAAATTTAATGAATATCATCATAGATTTATGAAATTATAAGGAACATAAATTTTGACTAAAATCACTCGAAATTCATTTAATAAGTATTACTCGTACCTTAATAGAAAGTAAAGGGTATTGAAAACATGTATAATAATTAAATTATTTTAAATAGATTTTAAACATAATGAAATTTTATGTTATGATAAGTGATCCAATTTTATTTTGCTCCATTTATTGTTTTTTTATTGTTAAGAATAATGGCATTTTGTAAGTAGAATTATATTTCTTTTGTAGGCCATCTGATAAATTTCAGTGATGGGAGTGAATGGACAACTTGATTCTGATGAATCATCAGGATCTGAAATTGGTATGTGAAAATATGATTGAATTTAATTATTTTTTAAAAAAAAAAAAAAAAACTTAAAAGTCAAAGGTAAAAAATTATTATTGAATTTTGAGCTCGAAGAAAAAAAAAAAAAACTCGATAATTATTTGTATATTTAAAATGTTTCTTTTTTTTTTTTTTTTTTAGTCGATGAAATGGCAGAAAATGAAAATAATAATAATAATAATAGCTCATTATTAATGGAAAAAATAGATGATTTAGAAAAGAAAATTTTAGATCAAGGAGATGAAATAATTTGTTTAAGATCAACATTAGCTAATGTAGTAAGAAGATTAGAACAAGTTGAATTTAATTCTAAAGCATCGGAATCATGGAAAAATGGAAATCATAGAAGTAAGTAAACTATACAGAGTTTATATTTCTAATTAGTTTGTATTTTTAAATTAAAATAATATAATTTTTTTTTTTAAGCTTCTGGAGAATTTGGAGTATTGAGACAACCTGGTTTTTCATTCAATTCAAAAGCATTAAGTAAAGATTCTGTGAAAAGAAGTCTTAGTACTAGTAACAGTAATTTACTTCAAAGGTCATTTTATTAAATACCTTTTTTAATTTTTGAAAAAAAAAAACTTTAAGACAAAATTCATGATTTATTATTTATCATTGCAGAAGACAAGCACATTATCAATCGACTGGCAGTCTTCATTCTGGACATTCCAATAAATCTGACAATAATAATTCAAATTCTGCATCTCCTGTACCGTCAAGTCCATCAGCTTCGTTTCATTCCAATGTAAACACTCCACCAACTTATAGACATTCCGTAACACCCAATAGCTTTATTCCTTCAAAGTAAGTACTTTTTTTTTTTTTTTTATAATTAAAAAACCAAAATGATTATAATAATTCTTTCCTATTTCACAAGTTTACTTATTTGTGTTTTTTTGTTTTGTTTTCAGAATCGGTGATAGAAGTAATCTTCATTCTTCAAAAAGTACATCAAATCTGCATAATTCGAAAAGATGGAGTTCAACAGGGGATTTTGGTATTAATTCTCACACGTCTAATTCTCCTCTTGGAGGTACTTTTTCAAGGTAACAAAAATTATTTTTTACATTTTTTTAATAAAATTTACAGCCTGTCATCTGCTTCTTATAGTTTTACATCAAAAAAAAATATCATTAACATATTTAAAGACTTATTGATATTTTAAAGTCGAATATAATTCATACCTTATAAAAATTCAAAATAATACAAAATGGCGGTCGCAATATATTAATATCTCAACCGTTAAAAAATTTTTGAAAAATTTTTTAATTAAAATTCATAGTTGTTTCAATTTTTTTAGATCATCAACTAAAAGTTTGCTGAATCTTTTTCCTAGACATGGGCCGGGTGCAAGCACCCAACCAAAAAGTGGGTATGTTTTTTTTTTTTTTTTTTTTTTTTTCTCGCTTCACCGTGATTTAAAGCTTTATTTATATTATGCTTTAATTAAATGTACATAAATTTCGTAATCGATAACATCATAATCATGTTAATTAATTAATTTATTTATTTATTTTATATCCGCTTCGAGCTTAGCAAATGTGCTTCTCTCTTTCAGGGGGAGAATAAAAAAAAAAAACATGGCGGCGCTGTTATTGTTTTGTAATTTGTCGCGCGCGTTATTGTAAATGGTTTTCCAATTTTCCTTTTATTATCTGGTATTCTGATTAATGGTGGTGAATGGATTAAAATGAGGATTGAAATATTCATTCGACTATTGGGAAACTTTTGGTAGACTTCTTGTGTTCCAGATCTTTCTGTCTCATTTTAACTAACTTTGACTAATAACAATGGTATACACATTTCTTTATACCTTAATTAATATTACCTTGTAATAAAAATAATTTAATTTCACTCATTTCACTTTGTTTGTTTTCATATCATATTAATAATAATAATATTAGAATCACAAATTAGTTATTTACATATTAATTTTTTTTAAATAATAATTTAATATGCACTTTTTTTTTTTTCATGAATGACACACAAAATATTAATATGAATATTTTTTGATAAAACTAGGAAAAAGATTAAAGCAAACAAATTTATTAATTTTTAAAATTTTAATTTGTATAATTTAACGAAATTTAAATTTTTTTTAAAATGATGATAGGATTAATTTCGACCATATATATATTTTAATTTGGTTTTTTTTTTTTTTTTCTAAAAAAAAAGGGTATGAATTGTGTGTAAAATAATTAATTAATTTTTTTGAAACGCAGCAAAAAAAATTGGGGAAATTTTTCATTTCAGAAATACAGATTTAACTTACAACGAAAGCGAAGGTTTATTTAGAATGTACTTAAGAGGCCGTCCAATAGTATTAAACATTCCAACGAGTTTAACGGATAATTATGACGTCAACGAAGTGGCTAAACCGCCACAGGAAAGGCTTAAACTCGACTGGGTAACAAAAAAAATAAATAAATATCGATTATGAATGATGAACATAAATATGTTTAAAAAACGTAACCGTCAAATTTTTTTGTTGTTGAATCAGGTTCACGGTTACAGAGGAAGAGATTGCAGGTCGAATTTACACTTTTTACCAACCGGAGAAATGGTTTATTTCATAGCTGCCGTCGTAGTGCTTTACAATGTCGAAGAACAATCCCAAAGACATTACATTGGTCATACGGATGACGTCAAATGTCTTGCAGTTCATCCGAATAAAATGATCATTGCAACGGGTCAGTGCGCCGGACACGATTCGAAAGATGGAAAAGTATAAAATGCCGTAAAAATAATTTATTTCGTCTTCTACCCGTTGACATCGTATTCAAAACAAATTTTTTTTTTTTTTTTTTACAGCCTCACATTCGAATTTGGAATTCGGTTAGTTTGCACACTCTTGCCATTATTGGATTGAACGAATTTGAAAAATCAATATGTTGCGTTACGTTTTCCAAAGTCGACGGTGGAGCTTTGTTGTGCGCCATCGATGAATCAATGGATCATACTATCACGATATGGGATTGGCAAAAGAAAGAAAGAAATGCTAAAATAACGGAAAATAAGGTGATTTCACTTTTTGACCGGTGCAAATTGTGTCGCCATGTTATTTATTTTAAAAATATGAAAATTTCAGTGTTCTGTCGACACGGTCATAGCAGCCGAATTTCATCCTCTGGATCGACATTGCATCGTGACTTGCGGTAAATCTCACATCGCATTTTGGATTTTAGATCAAAACGGTTCGTTGTATAAGCGAATGGGTATATTTGAAAACAGAGATAAACCAAAGTTTGTGACGTGTTTGTCTTTCACTCAAAACGGTGACACTTTATCCGGGGATTCGAATGGAAATATTATAGTTTGGGGTCGAGGTAAGAAAATTTGAAAAGAAAACGAAACGAAAACAAAATGTCGATGAAAATTTTTTAAATTTTTTTGTTAGGTACGAACACAATATTAAAACTTATTCGAGGTATTCACCAAAGCACCGTTTTTTCCATTTGCGTACTAAAAGATGGATCGATTGTCACCGGGGGAGGAAAAGACGGAAAACTAGTCTTTTTAAATTCCGAATTTCAACCTTTGGATGAGGGTCACATTGGGGAACAATATGGAGGAGTGAGACAAATTTCGGAAAGTCGTGGATCGCAACTTTTAGTCGGTAAGAAGACCTTCCACTTCTTTTTATTATTTTACGTTTAAAAATTTACGCAGAATAAAAAAAAAAATTTTTTGGTTTTGTTTTGTAGGAACAACCAGAAATTGCATTTTGATTGGTTCCTTGGGTGTGGGTTTCAGTCCCGTAACCATAGGTCACACTGAAGAAGTGTGGGGATGTGCAGCGCATCCTGGTCTTCCTCAGTTTTTAACGGCTGGATTTGACGGTGTTATTCACTTGTGGGATTCTTTGGCTCATTCTTTGATCTGGACCAAAAACATTGGGGTGATTTAATTAATTATTGTGATTCGTTTAACGGGAATGAGTTACGGTTTTTTAATCAAAATAAAAATTTCAGGAAAGCATTCAAAGCGTTCGATTTTCCCCCGATGGTTCCATAATCATCATCGGATTGACAAATGGTAAATGGTGCGTGTTCGATGCGACGAGACGTGAAATTTTATCCACTTACCAAGATGGAAACGAGCCCATTCAAGACGTAAAGTTTTCGCCGGATAATTCGAGTTTAGCTCTCGGTTCGAGAGATAACACTATTTATATTTATCAGGCTTTGAAAGATTTTACGATCTATCATAAAATCGGTCGTTGCGTTGTGAGTACCAAGAATCCCACCATCAAAATTTCTAAAGGGTTCTACTTTTTTATACATAAACTTTTGTTTAATTTAAGGGTCATTCTAGTTTCATTACTCACATCGATTGGTCGGTCGATAGTCAGCATATAAGAAGCAATTCCGGAGATTACGAGTTGCTTTACTGTAAGTTTTTCCAGAAAATTCTAACTGATTGTATTCTTTGGAAACTAATTTTTTTGTTTTTTCGGATAGGGCAAGCAAATATTTGTCGTCAAGTAACTCAAACATCATCGATGAAAGACGTCGAATGGGCTACAAACGATTGTACAATCAGCTTCAACACAATCGGTATTTGGCAAGATGGAATGGATGGCACAGACATAAATAATTGTGCCAAATCTAACAATTCCAAACTTTTGGTAACGGCCGACGATTTTGGAAAACTTAAATTATACACTTATCCAGTCATTCATCCAAAGGTTATTTTTATTTTTATTAAGTTTTTATTTTTTTAATTGAATCAATTTATTTGTAATTAATATTTTGAGGTTTTTTGTTTTGATCAGAGTTTATATCACACTGCGAAAGGTCATTCATCCCACGTGACCAACGTGAAATTTCTTAATGACGATTCTAGAATACTTTCGACAGGAGGAAAAGATACGAGTGTGATGCAGTGGAAAATATCATGAGTTATATTGATAAATTTTTTTTTTTTTTTTATAATTTATAAATTATATTTTTGTATATGGATTAATCCTTTATGTAAAATAGTTTTTTTAGTTAAATTTGCTTACTATTTAATAATTAATTATTTAAAATATTTTGTTAATTTTTTCTTTTTTAACCAAATACCACGTAAAATGTTCAAACGATTGTTAACATTATAATTTTTTAAATTAATTTAATTATAACATTTCTGTCGTTCGAATGCAATTTAACATAATAATAATAATAATAATTTAAAATAATTTTATCATTAAATTTTTTCACCATAATAATATTTTTATTTTTTTTAATAATTACATGACTAATTCCTGTTTTATCGCTAATAATATTAATAATATGTAATAATGCATATTCACTAAACTTTAATTTTGTTTGAGGAGAATTGTAACTTGTATTTAAAAGAAGTAGATGTTGACATATATTAAAATTTTAACACTTTAACTTTTTTACAAATTAAAAAAATTGGTATATTGGGTCAATTTTAGAACGATCGAATATAATTTCACTATTATTAATGCTTTTTGTCGAATTGATCATAATTTTTCATCAATATAAATATGATACATTCACAAAACAATTATCCAGAAAAGGATTAATCTAATTGGGGAGATTGAATTTTTAATCTGTTTAACTTATGATAAATATTTCTTAAAAACTAATTTTTATAAAAATGTTCTTTAGTTTACTTCAATACTTGAAATAAAAATGTTTAAAAATCAAAATAGTAAAGATAAAATTTTATTTAATTTTAATAGCAGACGACATATTATCCTTTATAAACAACTACGTTTAAGTTTTCTCAAGTTGGCATTTTGATGTATAGTTCATTTAGAAGGCGGTGAGATAGCGCTGCAGTCGTTACGTTTTAATTATTTTAAAGTAAACCAAACATTAAAGATGGTTTTAATATTAATTGAAATAAAATTACTTAAAATATTAAAAAGTAAGTTTTATTTTTAGAAAAGTGAAAAGTTTAGTTTTTATTTTTATTTAAATTTTCAATTGTTTACTCATCATTTAAAATAATAAAGGAAATTTTTTGTTTCGGGATTTCAGTTAAAAATTATTGTTTACTTTGCATCGTGTCACGTAACATATTCATTTAATTAGTAGGAGTTGTAGTGAAATTATATTTATTTCAATATAAAAAATATATATTTTGAAACAATTTATAAATTTAAAATATATTAAATTTTTAGATTTCAATGTTGATGGCTGCATTTAGCACTTTGAATTTTGAAGTCAGATGAAGTGCAACCGAAAAAGCCTAAACGTTTCAACAAATTTCTAACTATAAATATAAAATATTGTAAGTCCTGGAATTGAGGGAAAAAAAAAAAAAACGAAAAAGTTATGATCGGATAAAGTGCTTTTTAAAATTTAAATTTTATATATATATATATATTTTTTTTTTTTTTACAATGATTTATATTTGATTTTTTTTTTTTTTTTTTAATATTTGTAAAAAAAATTTTTTTTTTCTGTTAAAATAAATTTCATAAGCTGTAAATAATAATATAAATATTGAAATTCATGTTATTAAGAAAAACTAAGTTCAAACAAAAGTGTAAATGTTTTTTTTTTTTTATATCGGCTGACATTTTAAATGAAGTTACATGTTGATTTTTATTTTGGCAAATTAAAAAGTTTGTTATTTGGTAATAGTTATTTAACTGTGCTTGAAAAGGGAAAAATTGAATGGACATGGGAAGAAAACCAGGGAAAAGTCGTCACTTATCCTCTCCTCGTAGAAAGAATAGAGGAGAAAACTTGAGACTATGGAGAGAAAGGGAGAGGTAAATTTAAAATTTTTTTTTTTTTATGTGTTCTTATGTGTTCATTAAATTAATTTAATTTGCAGAATGTCTGTGATAAAATTAGACAGGAATCAAGGGGAAGATAGCGATGTCGAAGAAATTGACCACGATTCAAATGATTCTGATAAATCAAGTTCGAATAGCGATTCTTCCGATAATGGAACGGATTATGATGATTCTTCTGAAATGGATGAAGAAGAATGTGAAAGACTGAGATCTGAATATGTAGAAGATTTAGTGGATTTAGAAAGACAATTTACTCTTCTTAGAGAACAGTAAGTTTAATATTTACTTATATTAAAATCTATTAATAATTTTACTTGTTCAGTACTTTATAAAATTTATCGATTTAATTTTACTCTTAATTTCTCGTCTTCATCTAATATTTATTTTATAGACTTTATAGAGAAAGATTTACTCAAGTAGATAGCAAATTATTAGAAATTAGAAGTGGTAGAGCACAGGAATACCTTCAACCGCTTCAACAACTACAAGAAAACATGCGAATACGAACTGAAGTTGCAGCCATTTTAAAACAATTTTCATTAGCTAGTGTAAATAATCAAATTGACGCGGAAGCCATTGCAGCTGTTCAAAATCTACAAGTAATTTACTTTTAATAAATATTTTTACTTATTTTATTATTAAGACAACAATAAAGAAATTCATGCGTTTGGTTTTGATGATTTCAGAGCGAGCAAAAGCTATTATGGGATACAATCCAGGATGGTTTGGAGGGTGAAATACGAAGACTGGAGGAGGATAGGAATAACATTGATGTCAATTCGGCACTTTGGGGAAGCGAACAACCTAGGAGAACATCAGGTTCTAGAAGAAAACCGGTTTCAGTAAATGGACCTTATATTATTTACATGTTACACGAATCAGATATTTTAGAAGATTGGACAATAATAAAAAGAGCATTAACAGTTTGTAAAAGAAAATCAGAATTAAATTAATTTAATTTAATATAAATAAATAAATAAATAAATTTTTTAAATTAAAAAAAATGAAAAAGAATATGAATGCGTTTTGACAATATTTTATGCCTTAATTTAAAAAGGGGGGGGGGATGGGAAAAAAAAAGTTTTATTTCAGGTTTTTTTCATTGGGAAATTTTTTAAAAATCTTACATCATATGAAGAAAAAATTTTCATAAATTCAAGTGAATTTTGTTATGTAAAAAAAAAAAAAAAAAGTACAAAAAAGTTTTCTATACCAATAAATTTTATTCTATATATATATATAATGAGAAAAATAATTAAATTATTTTTTATTAAATTTAATTATTTAAAACAAAAAAAAAATTTTATTAAATCAAATCATAACAAACAGGATTCGCAGTTGGTGGTTAAAAAAAAAAAAGTTAAAAATAAATATTAAAAAAATTATTATTATTATTTATTTATTTTTATTTATTTATTTAGTTAGGATGAATAATTAATAAAAAAATAATATAAAATAAAATTTAGGAACGATTTGAAAAATTGGGGAAATGTTTTTATAATGCATTTGTTACTCACAAACAAACAGACAAACAAACGACACGTGTGAATACGTGTGTGTGTGTGAGTATAAATTTTATTTTATTTTAAATAAAGCTTTATATTTAATTATTATTATTATTTGCC